TCTCGGGCTCGTCGAAGAACTTCTCCATCGCCGCCGATGTGGACACTCCCGCTCTGACCAACTGAGCGCCAGTCATCTCAATCCCTTTCGGCGGTCCCGTTGTGCCCGAAGTGTATGATATCTGAGTGATTGGAAATTGATGTTAATTCAGATATTAATACAATTAAATATAGTCTTAAAAATGTTTAATAATTAAACGTACAATTTGTAATTCATCAGGGTGCAGTTCCAGTCCATCTAGCTCGATGGTCTGCTCTTGTTTACCATCGTTGTATAGACCGGTAGTTGATAGTAGTTTGATGTTGGGCTCAAATTGAGTGGTATTATTGTTTTTAATGGCATCGCTATTATTGTCCACAAATATAATTGTATTGACTTTTGGACACGTTTTCAGTATATTCTGCACTTTTGGCAACAAATCATATGTCGTGTAAATTATGGCCGCATTTGTTTCGTTAATACAGTGAGAAATTCCTATACCAGAGATAAATGCATAAAAATTAATTTAACTATTTTTATAAATTTTTTAATATTTAAATATTTATGCAAATAATTATTTAGATTAAAAAGTATTACATGAAATAAAAATTAAAATAAATGAATTAACATTAATATTATTCAGAATTTATATGACATGGAATTGTAAAATGCCTAGAAATTATAATTAATTTTTATAAATTTATATTGATTGAAATTACATTTAATGTAAAAAGGTAATAAAATTGCATAATTTATTTATTTTAACAAATAAAATTTAGTTAGAATTCAGTGTATAATAAATGTTTAGTGAAGATAATTAACTTTTACTTTTAAAATAATTTTCATATCAAATCAATGAGAGAAAAATAAATAACATTAACACCATTTAGTTGTCAATAGTGTTATGAATTAAATTAAATTTTTTTACAAAAATTCACACTAACTCTTATAACTTTATAACTATATCTATTGGAAATAACGGCATTGAATGCCCTATCAATAGCCTAAATAATGACATACATGTAATTATATTATAGATATTAATATATTTTAACCTTAATTTTTTTGAAATAACAGAAATGATTATAATTAGATTATTAACGTAATAATAAACACTGCAATACAAATACTTTATTGTATTTTATCGATGTTTCAATTTTTGAATTTTATGTCATTTAACATGTATTTAGAATTTTATTTTAATTATAAAAAAATTTTAAAAATCGACTTTAATTAAAATAAGAAAAATATTTTTACTGATAATTTAAACAATTTAATAAAGTTTACACTATTGACACACATATGGGTTATCTATGCACTAAATATAAGTTGTTTGCAATTGATATAAAATAAATTGCAATAACAATACAATTGTCAATTGATATCATCAATAGGTATGTGGGATGAGTGGGAAATACCCATCGATATGGTTGGGTGTCTTATAAATCAAAATAAACTTCTTGGAAATTTTAATTATATTAAAAAATTAATATTTCAATTGATCTCGAACAAATATGCAAAATACACACAATAAAGATAATTATAAAATAGATATTACATATACAGTACAGTAAGACTGACATTCTTAAGAATTGTTTAATGATATATTGCATTTAATTGTTTTCGTTTCGTTAAATTCAATTTTAGCACATTATCCCATATATGCCATACCTTCATATAATAACTAATTAATCATGTTTTTCTTATCTGACTATTTATTTTCAGATCTCTCTCTCTCTCTCTCTCTCTCTCTCTCTATTGTTATTTGATTGGAAAAATATTGCACTTTTCCTATAAGTTTTTTGGTGAGAGAATTGATGTCATTGTGAAGTGAAAGACAATAATGAATACATAAATTAATCATTTCGTAAATAAACAACTTTTCAGACACTTTACGACCGAAAAAATAAAAATAATAAGATTTTTGTTTTGCATTGTTTTCATACAAACAAAACAAATATATTGCACAAGAAGTCAATTAATTATGTTTTGTGAATTCAGTAATATTTGAGCACAAATTGTGTGTTTAATGAACACAATTAGCGCAAACAATTAATTAACAATTAAATAATAATCCATAACAATCTTACCCTCATCACCCAGAGTGGCAAATACGGTGACCATAACGGCGCCGATTTTTAAACACACCTAAACATGTAGGTATATAAAATTATTTAAATACATGGAGGTTAATTTAAGTCAAAATAAAATTACAGTCAAAAATAATCACCTGGATAAAAATAAGATTATCAGCACAGGTTTCGGCCAACACAACCACTTTATCCCTGCGCTGAAAGCCGTTGACCACTAGTCCACGGGCTATACAATCAATCCTATCGTAGACGTCGGCGTACGTGAACCACACGTACGGACTTAAGCGCAACTTTCGCAACACTTTTCCGTCCAGACGTACGGCCAGTCCGTCGGCGTCCGTACAGACGGTCTCCTCAATGACATTGCGGTAACCGATGCACCGCCTGTCCAACGGGTAGAGTCGGCGCATCATTTTGGACGCCTCGGCCATCGACGCGCTGGTAGTCAACACATGAAATTTGGTCTCTTGTGTCCGAACCCATGGCGAGTACGGGTCCGTCGCGTCCAACTGTACTGATCGTTGAAAATGTGATTTCCGGAGCTTTTGGTAGGGTTTTTGTATTACATAATAGATGGGAAGTGTTAGGTATGTATAGCACTGTATCACACATTTAAATATTAACATAAAAATCCATTTCAAAACGTCACCGATCATTGTTTTAATTTGGATATTTTACATTAATGCTTTATATTTCACAAATCAAATCAAACATTTAAAAAAATGTAGAAATGTTGGCAAAATTCAATGCAAACAAATTTATAAATAGTGTTGAAAATAGTTTGAAATTAATGATAACTACTTAAGAAGTTTTCATAGGAATCCTGAAAGGGATCGGAGAGAGAATGTGAGTGAAAATAAATGCCCACAATTTCACAGACACTGGAAACCTGCAAAACTACATACAGTAAACATGTTTGGGATATACTTATGATATGTGGAGAACACGGAGTTATTAATATTTGTGAGCCAAGTGTTCGTCGTTGTTGTGGTAATGAGTGGTAAATCAAGTGATGGTATGAAGAGCTGATCCGAAGGTGTGGTTGGTTTGACTACAGTCTGTGTTTGCATTGCATTCACACAACTGTTGTATAAATCGGTGTT